AGACAGGTATGGAAGGTAGAAGTTACTCTGGGAGGCCATAAGCCTTCCTGAACAGATGGGTTTTAAGGCCCTTCTTAAATGATTGAAGACTAGGGGAGAGTCTGATGGCAGTAGGCAGGCTATTCCATAGGAAAGGAGCAGTCCGCGAGAGGTCCTGCAAGCGCGAGTTGGGCGTACGGGTGCGAGCAGTGGTCAGGAGGTGGTCACGGGCAGATCGGAGGGAAAGAGGAGGGGCATACCTATGGATCAGTGAAGAGATATAAGAGGGGCTAGAATTGTTCAGTGCTTTAAATGTATGGGTTAGCACTTTGAATTAACTCCTATAGGATACAGGGAGCCAATGTAAGGACTGACAGAGAGATGAGGTGTGAGAGGACCCACTAGAGAGGAAAATCAGTCTAGCTGCAGCATTCATTACAGACTGTAGCGGGGCAATACGGCTTTTGGGGAGACCAATCAGGAGAGGGTTACAGTAATCCACGCGGGAAATTACTAGAGCATGGACAAGCTCCTTGGTAGCATCTTGCGTAAGAAAGGGGCAGATGCGGGCTATGTTTTTGAGTTGGAACCTACAGGATTTGGCAACAAACTGGATGTGAGGCTCAAAGTTTAGGCCAGAGTCAAGTATGACGCCAAGACAGCGTGCTTGCAAGGATGGACTTATGTGGATATCACTGACTTGAAGGGAGAGTGAGAGAGGGGGATCAGTATTAGGAGGAGGAAAGACAAGGAGTTCAGTTTTAGAGTGGTTGAGTTTCAGAAAGCGTCAGGACATCCAGTCAGAGATGGAAGAAAAAATTATAGGGCTCCAGGCACTCCTTTGTTCAAAACAGGCACTTTATTGAAAACCACAACAGCAACATTTCGACCCCAAAAGGTCTCTGTCAAGCTTGACAAAGAACTTTTGGGGTCGAAACGTTGCTGTTGTGGTTCTCAATAAAGTGCCTGTCTTGAACCAACTAGTGCCTGGACCCCTATTATTTTACTAATGTTTGGACATCTGGTGTTTGATTCCGGCTCAGCAAGCACCCTGGCTCAGATTTGTGGGAGTGAGTGCAGTTCCACATATACTATTCAAGAGATGGAAGAAAGGCAAGCAGTGAAACGTTGCAGGACAGCAGGGGAGAGGTCTGGGGAGGAGAGGTATATCTGAGTGTCATCAGCGTACAGGTGGTAGTGGAATCCAAAAGACGCAATAAGTTTGCCAAGAGAGGCAGTATAAAGAGAAAATAGAAGGGAACCAAGGACAGAGCCTTGGGGAACTCCAACCGAGGTATCCTTGGAAAAGGAGACACTGAATGAGCGTTGGGAGAGATAGGAGGAAAACCAAGAGAGGACAGAGTCACAGAGACCAAACGATTGAAGAGTTTGAAGGAGGAGAGCATGATCAACAGTGTCAAAGTCAGCAGAGAGGTCAAGGAGAATTAATATGGAGTAGTGACCTTTGGATTTAGCTGCGATTAGGTCATTAGTAACTTTGATGAGAGCAGTCTCAGTAGAGTGGAGAGGGCGGAAGCCAAACTGGAGAGGGTCAAGGATTGAGTTGGAAATGAGGAAGCGAGATACACGGGTAAAGACAAGTCTTTCCAAAAGCTTTGATGAGAAAGGGAGCAGGGATATGGGACGATAGTTAGAGGGGGAAGATAGGTCAAGAGATGTTTTTTTCAGGATAGGTACTACTGTGGCGTGATTAACCCCTTAAGGACCAAACTTTTGCAATAAAAGGGAATCATGACATGTCACACAGGGGGTTAATGTCAGCAGGAACAGTGCCAGAAGAGAGAGAGCAGTTAAAGATGTGTGTTAGGGTAGGCACAAGACAAGGGGAGAGAGATCTGATGAGGTGAGACAGGACAGGATCGAGGTGGCAAGTGGTGGGGCAAGAGGAGTGGAGAAGCGCAGCCACCTCTTGTTCAGTAGCCGGGGAGAAAGTCTGAAGGGTAGGGAAGGCATGATTTATGTGTGGTTGAGAAAGAGAATGGCAAGGAGGGGAGAATTGTTTCCTTAGCTGTTCAATCTTGTCAGTAAAGTGGCATGCAAAGCTATCAGCTGTAAGGTTAGTTTGGGGGGTGGCCACAGCATGGCAGAGAAGGGAATTAAAGGTGTCAAAGAGACGTCTGGGATTGCGGGAGCATGAACTAATGAGAGAGGGAAAGTATGACTGTTTGGCGAGGGCAAGGGCTGCTCTGTATGAATGCAACATGAATCTATAATGGAGAAAGTCTGCCTGGGTGCGGGACTTCCTCCAGGAGCGTTCAGCACAACAGGAGTAACTCTGCAGATAGCGTGTTGATTTAGAATGCCAAGGTTGGGGTTGTGTCCTCCGCGAGGTGCATGTTTGGAGCGGGGCTGCAGTGTTCAAAGCAGAGGTGAGGGTAGTGTTATATGTGGAGATGGCCAGCGAGGGACAGGAGAGGAAAGGGATGGATAGTAGTTGTGAATCAATGTCAGCTGCCAGCTGCTGGAGGTCAATAGAGTTAAGGTTCCTCCTGAGATGAGGGGGGTTAGGCTGAGGTTGTTGGGTGAGTGTGTAATCAAGAGCAAATGATAAGAGGTGGTGATCAGAGAGAGGAAATGGAGTGTTGCAGATATTAGATATTGTACATGAATAAGAGAAAATAAGGTTGAGGGTATTGTCAGCTATATGGGTGGGAGAATTAGCCCACTGCAATAGTCTGAGGGAGGAAGTAATTGAAAGTAGTTTAGAGGCTGCTGGGGTTAAAGGTGGGTTAATGGGAATATTGAAGTCTCCAAGAATTAGGGATGGAATGTTAGAAGAGAGGAAGTAAGGCAGCCAGGTAGCAAAGTGGTCAAGGTAGAGGAGAGGGGAACCAGGGGGACGATAGATAATGGCAATGTTAGCAGAGAAGGGTTTGAAAAGGTGAATTGAATGAATTTCAAATGATAGGAAAGAGAGGGAAGGGGGGGGTGGGCAGGGTTTTAAAAGAGAAGTGGGGTGAGAGGAGAAGACCTACACCACCACCTTTAATCTCTGCTTGTCTTGGATTGTGTGTAAAGTGAAGACCACCAAAGGACAGTGAGGCAGGGGTAGCAGTATCAGATGGAGAGAGCCATGTTTCAGTTAGTGCAAGTAGGTTTAGGGAGTGTGAGATAAATAGGTCATGGATGGAAGAAGATTTAAAGGTGCTGCACACAGAGCATGCATTCCAGAATGTAGCTTTAAAAGAGGAATTATAGTGAGAATTACATGGAATGGGTATTAGGTTGTTGTGGTTTCTGGTGTTTGTACCAGATGGCTGAGTAGTGGCGGGACCAGGGTTTGGAGAGACATCACCAGCTGCTAGGAGCAGTAGGATGGAAAGGAAGAGAAGGTGGGAGTAAGATTTAAATGTTGGGGATGAGAGCTTGTATTTACGGGATTTAGTAGGGGTGTGTGGAGAAAGGCTGAATAAATATGAGTAAAGTGTGTGTGATGAATGCAGAGATGAGGGGTGCAGAGAGGGAGCAATGAAGATGGTGTTAGCAGGAACAGGTAAGTAAAATGCTAGAGAGATTTTAATGATGAGGGAAGTGAGAGAGAAAGTGAAAAATAGAAGTGAGAACATTAATAGGTATATTGGTATAAATTGGTATGTATTTGTAAATATTGATAAACATTGGTGTATATTGGTATGCATTGGTGTGTATTGGTAAATGTTGGTATATATTGGTGTATATTCGTATATATTAGTATATATTGGTATATTGATGTATACGGGTATATATTAGTATATATTAGTATATATTGCTATGCATTTGTATATGTTTGTATATATTAATATATATTGGTATAAGTTGGTATGTATTGTTATATGTTGGTATATATTAGTATATATTGATATACATTGGTATATGTTGGTATATATTGGTGTATATTGGATTTAGTTACACCTTTCCTTTTCCCCCCTACTCACTACCATTTTGTAGTAATTAAATCCTTATCTACTAGCTTGTAGTGGGCTCTTTAACCCCTTAAGGACCAAACTTCTGGAATAAAAGAGAATCATGACATGTCACACATGTCATGTGTCCTTAAGGGGTTAATGTAGCTAGCAATTTCTTCAGCTTGTCTATATTTTTTTTACCCACTGATTCTCTCCCTATATCAGTATTCTACCCTTTTAACTTGGATATTTTTTGTTTACAATAATGTAGGTTTCCTATGGCTCTTATACAGATATTTATAATTTTGTGCAGATTAGTTGTTTTAATTTCACAGTCGGTGTTAGATGTGTGTATTTTAGCTCCATATTTAATACAGATTGTTATTTTTTGCCTTTTTAAAAGTCCCTATTATCTTTTGTTTTTCTCTTCCAGATGATGTTTAGTAAAAAATTTTCTATTGTGCTTTGATTTAAGACAGATTCATAGAGTTATCCCCTTCTCCTCTTTTGTTGAATTAGGCATTACAATCCTGTTCCTGACTGCAGTGCACGCACAATATATTGTGCTGAACTGTCAGCTCGGCTTGTTTTACATTAGATAACTTTACTCACATTTCTTAATTTAACTTTTTATATTTATTTATTTATTTGAAACATGATTATATAACTTGCACTGAATTGTAATACTATAGCAATTTCATGGTTAAATAAAATAAATAAGTAAAATTGAATGTATTCATGTACAAGTGAAACTGAGGAATAAAAAGTTATGGCGATATTATGAAATCCTTCCCCTTTAGAAATATTTTAGATGGGATTACTGATAAATACATGTTTTGTTAGATAATGATGTACAGGGAGTACAGTTACAATACAGAGCATTGTAGGCTACTTTTGCAGACAGCAAGGATTCCCTGTAGTGTACTCAGTTTGCTTGTAGACTTCAAAACTGCTGCTTACATTTCAGAAATATTAATACAATAGCACAGTGGGTGACAAATAGTGATGTCCCAAACGGTTCGCCGAACGGTTCGCCACGGATGGCGAACATATGCCCTGTTCAGTCCGCCCCCTATGTCATCTTTGAGTAAACTTTGACCCTGTACCTCACAGTCAGCAGACACATTCCAGCCAATCAGCAGCAGACCCTCCCTCCCAGACCCTCCCACCTCCTGGACAGCATCACTAAGAAGCTGCATTCTTAGTGAGCTGTCCAGGAGGTGGGAGGGTCTGGGAGGGAGGGTCTGCTGCTGATTGGCTGGAATGTGTCTGCTGACTGTGAGGTACAGGGTTAAAGTTTACTCAATGATGACATAGGGGGCGGACCGAACAACGCATATGTTCGCCGTCCGTGGCGAACCGTTTGGGACATCACTAGTGATAAACAATGATTTACATTGTTACTTTTGTATTTTCTAATAATCTTAACAATATTATAAATGTGTCTTTTTAAATTTTTATTCCCTCTTGTCTTTCTCTTAATGCAGAATTAGAGGGCAGCACACCTATGCAATAAGATTTGGGTAACAACAAAAAGCATGCAGAACATCGACTTCTTTAACCACCTCCTGGGTCAAATGTATCACTGGTGCAAAATGTACTGAACAAAGTGCCCCCTGCTCGATGTGCAATATTCATATATTCTTAAACTCACGGTGTCAAGCATATTGTACCAAACCCAATGGGCCTGGTATAATGATTGTGCCAACACTAGACCAGTTCTATGGCATCAATAACAGAGCATTTGTTTACAAACAGCCAGGTATACAATGAGGCAAACGTTCAAGTTTGCTGTCTTCAGGATCGCTTCAAATCAATTCATAATAAAATGTTGAGGTATCGCTGTGACAATAACTGCTTTGGATCCTTTACAAATGGAGTATTTAATCAGAATTGTTTGGTTTCTTTCAAAACAAATCTAATAGAATCATCACAGACAGTAAAATTTGATGTAATGATGAATACAGGTGACACTCTAAGCAACTTCACCATTGTAGCTCTTTACAGTGGTTATGGTATTATACGTTTATAGGTGTCATCTCTACGGTTTTTGTTAAACCATTTAAGAGCACTCTCTGACACCCAGACTCCTCTCTGATAATGCACTGATAATGAAGAAATTACACTGGTACTGCCAGAGACAGCCCGTGAAGCCAAGTTAAAACAGTTTGAAAAAAAGCTGGGGGATAATGCCCATAGTCTAATAGCAGTAAAACTATTACAAGGCGTTGTACTGGTTATGGTGCTTAGAGAGTCCCTTTAATAATCACACATAATCAGCATTATTTACCAATATAATTCAACATATAAATTAGTTTCATTATATCTCTGTCTCCTACATAATAAATATATCATGACAGCCTGATAATGTATTGTGTTTATTTCTGATAAATAGTAGAGAATCACTAAACTAGAATTATCATATAGTCATTTATAAAATGCTTACAATGCTGCCGTCCATCCCATGTGTTCCCTATTGAGGGTTAATAAGCATGTAGGGATGTATATAAAAAATACCCCTTTCTGTCTCATTAGAGATATCTTTGCCAGAAACTCAAGGAAGCAAGGTGAATGGTTAGAGTTAGGACCCACCTAAGAGGTCTGCCTTGACGTGGCAGGTGGGCATACCCTCTCATGGCCATTGGAGGTAACTAAAAACCTCAATTTTTTTAAATATACATAGGGATTTGGGAAAGAGCGCAGGTAACTTTTTTCTTTGGTTTTTAATATAGTAATTTATAATCTAGTATGTAACTTTTAGTTTATACAGCTGCCGACCTTATTATAGTCTTAACATTTTTGAATAGTTATCGAGGCAGGGTAGAGCTAAAAACGTTTTAACTGGGGAGTAAATACAATCGAATGGTCTTTTATTTACTCACATAACTCCCAGATGTCCGTGTGGATGGTGACAGATAGCAGCTGCTGGAGTTACAAGATGTGTCAGATGTGTCAAATATTGAATGACTGTAGGACATCTACATGAATTAAGTAGTAACCAGCATAGTGTCTCAGCGAACATATAAAAAAGCCTGGGGCTGCTCTTTGATCCAAAAGTAAGCCTAGTAAAGAAATAGTAGTGGTTTCCCACTTGATACCATGTAGATGCCATAGAGATGGGTGGCTAGGGAGGAGTTAAACTACATGTACATTACAATATCTGTCTTGCTCAACCATGCACCAAATCATGCTGAAATGATAGCTTGAATGGCATTGGATATTGTAGTGTACTGTAGCAAGAATATTTCAAACGGAATTAATGCATTTAGACTACTTATGGCTGTAGAGTGATAAGTCAATTATTAATTGTTTTTTATTTGAAGTTTTTCCATAGCAATCGCTATTGGGTTAGTTCACCATACAGAGAATGGGGGAACTTTAAATGGGACTATTAAGAATCCTTGTTCTAATTCTGTTTTTATGAGGGAGTTGACTGCAACTGGATCTCTCTACAATCAATATGTCCGTTGGTAAGGAAAGTAGACCTTTGTGAAAACCATTAGTAAACCCTGAGGAACTCTTAAGTGTGGGAATGGATGGTTAGACAGTAGTTATGAAAAAACATACATTTTTAGCACTGGGCCAAGGGGAGTTGAGGCCACCGAACAATGTGGCGTGGTGTAGGCCTCTCAGTGACATGCATGAGCATAAGATAAAATGGGAGTGGCAGGTGATGCCCTAACTATGAAACCTTCCAAGGCACTAGCTAGAATTTGGACCGATGGGCTAAATACCTCCAAGTATGAGGATGGGTGTTGGTGCCTCACAGGACTTCTAAGCTAAGGCAAGAAAGGCCCAGAAACCTGTGCTATTGGGATTCTTACATTACCCTATAACCAGTAAAGAACTTAACCTTGCCTAATTATAATGTAGGGAGTCATGTTGAATTAAACAAGTTATATTTGAAACATAAGGAATACACAAGATATGTACTATATCGTAACCCCAAAAACCAATAGTGCTATCACCAAAAGGTTTACCTCACACAAATAAATACAGAAAAAACAGTATAGTTTATACAACTCCAAAGTGTAGTATAAGCTAAAAGTGGGATAGGACATAAAACATAGAGGATACAACCTCTATAACAGACGGTGATCTCTGGGAGATCTGGAAATACAGAATCACAAATAGTGAAGTATGTAATAAAAGAGTGACTCAATCCAGGAGGTAGAGAATTTACAAGAGACACTGATGTTCTGCGTTTATCTCCCCTCTGGGGGTATCTTTAAGAAGTGATAGAATTCTTCTTGTTAACTAAATCCTCAGAGGGATAAAACAAATGGACATAGAGTAGTACTGTTAAAAAAGACACAATTTATTACACTTACATAAAAACTGTAATTAGCCAGCATATCTCCACTAGCAAGTGGAACAGGGTGGTGTATTCATCTGTACCAAAATGGAGTAGTAGCCAGATTCAGCAGCAAGGTTTTCCAATAAAATACAAACAAAAGAAGTAAAACTGAAAAAAAATAGTCCAGGTACTCAATCCTTGTTAGAGTTATTTGAACTTAGCGTAAGTAGAATGATGAATGAACTGTGCCCCAGGTTTAAAATTAAATGTATACATGACCTAAGTATATAATACTAGAATAAATCTAGGCTAATGACGTACAATATTGAAATGGTACTAGTATCTGGGGTTATTAACGTACCTGTTAGGGGATTAATGAAACTTTGATACTAATCTGGACACCAAGATTGAATTTCTGGCCTATTGAAATAAATTATATATATATGGTTATATGGATACCTTAAGTAATAATTATTATATTATTATATTAATGATAATTATATTGGGAATATGGAAATGTATATATAGAAGGAAAATTCACATACCTAATATGCCAGACTTGGAGAATAAATCAGCTGGCCAATACTGTGAGAATCTGTAAAGTGTAAGAACGTGATCTCTGTGACCATGAGTTAGCACCTAAACTGGCATATGGGGGCATACATGTTTTCAGTAATTTACCAGGTAATAACTGAAGAGGTTTCTATTAATTGATTCCTAATGACAGGATAGTGAAACCTAGACCATCTAATAGAATGTATAGAAGCTTAATTTGTTGAATTGTAAGCTTGTAAAGACCCACGACTTATACACCCTCCTAATACATATTTGTAAAATTTGATAATTGTATTCATAACAGAAGATCAAAGTATGTGCCAGCCAACCTCCAGGATTTGGGTGTACAACATGTATGTTGAATAACCAGTAATGATGTTGAATAATGTAAATTCCCCTCCGTTTATATCTCAAGATTAGAGAAATTCTATATATGATATATATATTAATGACTGAACAAAATATAATTCTGAATAGTAAGAAGATGAGAATAAATTGATAAGCAATGAAAATATAACCAGGGGAGCCTAACCGCAGGTTAGCTTCATACTTACAATAAGATGCTAGGTTTGAATCAAATTGTATTAAGGAAATACGAACTGTGTCTTTAGTAATCTTTTGGAGGAAACTGTTACCAGTTGAAATCGAGAGGAGTAGAATTCCGGCTGAAAGAGGTTGAATAGGAGTCAAACGTTGATTGAAATACAAGAGAGAGAGAGCAACTCAGTTGAATGGATAGGCCTTTGGTTTTCTAAATGCCAAGAAGACCTAAAACGAATGCACTCTTTCCAACTTGAAATGCTGGTATGCATAATCGTTGAGCTGTCTCAAATATATCACTGGACAGACACCTCCGCTTTTTCTGGGAACCAAGAAAAGGTTGCACATATAACCCAGGGTATGGGCGGGGAATCTTTATGATGGCTTCTTTGCGCATCAGTTCTTGTATTCTCTCGGAGACAAGTTCAGCATCTCGTTGGGAAAAAACTGTTTCCCTCGATGGGGGCATTGTAAAGGTAGAGAAAGGAAGTTTAAACAATACCCTTTCACAATGTGAAGAACCCAAGCAGCTAATGGAATGAGGGACCAACTTAACAGATCACACTCTGGATCCAACCACTTAAGGTGGCTCCATCCCAGTCTAGATCATCCTCTACTACTTCAAAGATCTTGGCTGCTGGGCCCAGGTTTTCCAGGATTTTATCCTGACAGTGTTGCAATGAAAAATCTAAGCCTTTATTAGGCTTCCATCCTGTCTTACTCAGGAATTGAATGATCTTAGGATTGATTGATTGACCGATTGATTGGGGTTTTACATGCACCATCAGGGACTCTGGGGTGTGGGCATTCAGTCTGCAATTTATTGCGCATTGCCTTCTCTAAAAGCTTGCGTGCTCTGGATGCAATATACTTGGCTACATGGTATGAGAGAGACCATTCTGCTGACCGTGAGTGACATAGGTTGTCAGGTTCTAATAGGGGTTCACCTTGACGGTCCAAGATCCTATCGGTGTCCACTGAGGCTGCTTTATCTACCTCAATCTTGGTAGGTTTAACGGGAAGTGTATCCCGCGAGGGATTAGATTTTTCTCTATCATTAATTTCATAATCAGGATCAGAAAGATCCTCTGATTCATCCATATAGGACTCAGGGAACTCCTCCTCAATATCACTGAGCTCAGACTCAGAGTGCAGTTGGGCTTTTGCCCATTTCCAAAGTTTAGCCAATTTTGCCAGGCTAGTGGCTCTTTTGCGTGGTGGTAAATCAACAGCGCCATCCGTAACAGGTATGGTACTGTCCATCTTTATTGTTTTGGATGAGTGTTTAGCCTTATATGAGGCCTTGCGGCCAGGCTGAGGCAGAGCATGTGTCAGTTCTGGTACTGCCGCCTGAGTAGTCAGCTGTGCCAATCTCTGTGCCTGTAACAGGGCCTGGGCAAATGTATGTGAAAGTAAAGCAGACATAACGCTCATTGCTGACACATTTGTCTTTGCTTTTGACATGGAAGTGTCAATTAAAGCCTGCATTTAATTGACAAATCAGCAGGAGCAATAAAATCAGCAGAAAAATAAGCCGCATCTCCAGAGATATCTGGAGAGGCTTCTAAAGTAATTTGCATGGGTGTGTACACCCGGAAGGTACAGAAATGTCTCTGTCAGACTGCATCATAAATATACAGACAAGCCTAAGGGAATGAATAAGGTAAAATAATAACCAAAGGAAGGGTTGAGTAACCCACAAGTTAAAAAAACAGGGTAAGGTAAGGGTTGAGTAACCCAAAGGAAGGGTTGAGTAACCCACAAGTTAAAAAAACAGGGTAAGGTAATGAAAGTACTCACAGCAGTGAAAAAAAATTGCAATTACAGGAGAAAAACACAAAAGCCGTCCAGCCGCCACTATTACTAGACCCTAACTCAGGCAGCTAGGGGGAGCGACAGAGAAAAAAACGCGGGAAAAAAACAAGAAAATGGCTGCCACAAACGCCGAAAATAAACCAAATGAAAGACCAATATTGAATGTGTTCAGGAAACTAATGCTAAAACAAAAGTACATTCAGGAATCGATAGGTAAGTGTTTATGTATTAGTTAAAATAGTGCGTTCCAGCACTCCCAAATTTGGCGAAACGTGCATGTGCGCATTTGAATACTCTAGAGATGGCATGCAGAAGTTTGAATGAAGGGAAAAAAACGTTGAAAAAATGCCATGCAGGGGATAAAGATCCTCAAAGATGTCCCTGAGCCACAATTAAAATGTAGTTACTACTATAATAATAACTATATTAACAACAGTAATGATATGAATAAAAATAAAAGATCCCGCAGTTAAGAACCGTGGGTCCCAGTGTCCCTTAACTGAGTGAGCAGCAAAGAAAGAGGAAGTAGTATACTGGACACCGATTATTATGCTATGTAGAGGATGCTGATTGGCTGTTCCTGTTGCTAGGAAGATATACCTCTCATGTTATTTACTGTACATGGGTTTTTTTACCTTTTTTAATGGGTTTATGCATTAGGCACTTTACTTACATTGTGGTTTTGGTACTATATACTGGTTTATCACTATACTATGCACTTTCTCTCTGCTATAATGATATCTTGTTGTATTTTCTATGCATAAATAAATACTTAAGAGCATTTTTTACTGTGGCAACTTTAGAAATAGACTCAGCTAGAGCAACCTTAGATTAAGCAAGAGGCAACCTTGAAATGGAAGACACACATTTGTATGTATATTTGTGTGTGTGTGTATATATATATATATATATATATATATATATATACAGGTGATACTTGAAAAATTAGAATATCGTGCAAAAGTTTATTTATTTCAGTAATGCAATGTAAAACTAAGGGGAAACTAATATATGAGATAGAAGCATTACATGCAAAGCACGATAGTGCAAGCCGTGATTTGTCATAAGTGCGATGATTATGGCTTACAGCTCATGAAAACCCCAAAGTTTTATCCTGCAATCCATGAACCAGTTTAGTAGCCCTTCTCTGAACTCTCTCTAAAGTACCAATATCCTTCTGGAGATACGGTCTCCAGTACTGTGTACAATACTCCGAGTGAGGTCTCACCAGTGTTCTGTACAATAGCATGAGCACTTCCCTCTTTCTACTGCTAATACATCTCCCTATATATGCACAAACATACAGTAGCTATTCAATTACCGCATACTGGTAAGTAGCTATTCAATTACCACATAATACATTGTATTACCAACATACACTAGCTATTCAATTACCACAATGTAACATTTTAATTAGCAACAGTTTAAAATGTGGTTTTGTCAGATATTTCTTTGCTGTGTCCTTTAACATTTAGAGGGTTATTCACTAAAGTAAGAATTTAAAGTGAATTTAGAGAATTTCAAATTTAAAGTTAAAGTAGCTGAACTGGAAGGATAGTTGACTTTTTTCTAGTTTGGTTATTTTTACCTTGAAATTGTAATTTACTTTGAATTCTCACTTTAGTGAATAACCTTTTCAGATTAATAGTGTAACTTTAGTATTTGGACACAAGATGGCAGCATTTCAAATGCAACTGTAATTGCAGTGTTTGCAGTGCACCAAATCATTTTGTAGTAAGACATGTAAATCAGATATAAATAAGATTGAAAACCCTTTGCACCTGTAGTCAGTGGATAGTCAATACCAGGGGCAGACTGAGCACTTGGGCAAATCGGTGATGGACCGAGGGTCTGAGGCTCTGGGGGGCCCGTCTGTGGTACAGTGCAGTAATTGGCTGAGCTGGGAAGTTCAGCAACTTCCCCAACGAGCCTGCACTCAGTAAAGGGCCCGCACAGCCTTCATTGAAAGCTTTGGAATTTTTTATCCAAGATTTGAATCTGACAGGTTGATCAGCTGCAGGATTAATATGAATAAAATATATTTACTATGCCAATAAAATCTACACATTTTTAGACTTACAAATAAGAACAAATCTTGATAATAAAGAACTATTTACATATATAAGAATAGATGATATCCTACGTAAAGTTTTAATAACAAATGAATCACTTCTAGATAAGCTCCTACTTGGTGATCATGGAAAGATATCTTCTAAGATTAGAAAAGTTGTATATTACCAAAAATAAAAATTTGAAAACAAAAACTATCAAAGTGTGAGAAAGGGATACGGGTAAAACAGTTTCTTTCCAGATGTGGCAAAATTATTTTAAAGTGATTGGGAAATCCATCCATTGTGTGAATATACAGGAGACTTATTTTAAACTTGTACACAGATGGTATATGGTTCCTATAAAGCTGTGTAAATATCAACCAGATACTTCTAATTTATGTTGGAGGTGTAATAGAAATGTTGGCTCATTAAAACATATATGGTGGGATTGTCTTAAACTACACAATCTTAAATTGAAAGTTAAAGAAATTTTTGTTGATTTGAAAATTGATATTACTTTGACTGTGGAGCGATTTCTTTTTCATATTGATCTCCCTTGTCTATCCAAATCATTGATATGTTTAGTTACTCATATCTTAATGGTGGTGAAATTATGTATGACTAGATATTGGAGAAATGAGAAATCTCCCAGTTTAGAAGAAATAAGAGTACAGATTGATAACCAAAAAGCAATATATTATAATAATTGTAATATAATGAAATATAATAATATCTGTGACTTACATATTTTAAAAAGTGAATTCTGTCCTCATAATATTTACTACCTGTCATTGATATGTTTATCTGCGGTCTGATTCTATAGGTTGGTCCCCCACGAAAATCTTGTATTTTGAAACAATCTTTATTATAAGACTCTGCTTTTATGATAGGACTGGGAGAGTCCCCCCCCCTGTCCTCCTCAGGTGTCTCAGTTCCTTTTTTTCTTCTTTTTTTTTCTTGAGGTACAAATATTTGTACCTTTCGTATAATGGTTTTTTTTTTGTTTGATTTTAATGCAAATCTTTTTATTGTAGAAAAGGCAGTAAGAAAATGAGGCTTGTAGGCCTCCATGGGAAACATTGTGGAAAGATGTAGCACAAAGCATTTGTCATTCTATTTTAGGATACAACTTAACAGATTCTGAAACAGTGTTTAGTTACAATGTTATTGTACAGGCATGGTATAATTGCAGTGTATACAGGTATGACTTGAGGGCGTATTTGCAGTGGCTACTCTCAATCTATAACTGGGCATGTATACACAAATTTCGTTCCATGCTCGGTGCGTGTCCTCCTGCATGTGTATTTATCGCTTCCTTCCACCAAGTATGGAGCTTATTTTTTTTCCCCCATCAGGGTCAGGTTTAACGGAGAGGGGTAAAAGTTGTTTGAAAAGGAAAGAAAAACTAAGGGTTCATAGGTTCAGGAGAGGCTTCCCCTGGCCTCCACGTTGCCAGATCCAAGCGAGGTGTGAGCCATGTGTTGGTACGAAGTGTTGGGGAGTTAATTGGTTCTGGTAGTGCATCGTGTGGCGTGTACCCTGGTGGGTGCAGGTTAATCTGTGTCCGTATTACCGTCGGTCGCTGTGAAAATGTCTGGACGTTGACCTAATGAGCTTTCTTGGACCTTTCTCTCCACGGACCGGTTCACAGAATTGAATGAGGAATTTTCTGGTCGCCCGTCTGTGTGTTGTATCCCATAGTCCATTTTGAGGGGCGTGTGGTGAGTGTTAGTAGGTCATGTGTAAGGTGCGAGGGATTATGAATTAAAGTGCCGTCTGTCTCCAATGTTTACGTGTGGGTGCGCGGTGCGATGCATGGTCTGTCGGGAGCTTGTGTTTTTCTATGGGCGGTCTCACCTGCAGAGGAGGGGCGTCCTAAGGGAGGTGTATGGTCAGTACAGTGGCAAGTTGAGTCTGGGGTATGTGTTATTTATTATGTATGTTTTATACTTTATATATATATAATATATATATATATATATATATATATATATATATATATACTTTTGTTTTCTTTTTTCATTTAATATAAGCTATCAATTCATGTTTAATGATCTCCTTTACAGAATGTTAGTAATTTAAGCACTTATATCATTACATGAATTGCGATATATATTGCGTGTTTAAATATGCAATTCAACTTTGAAGACTGCAATTAATTATAGATAATTGAATTTTATTGCTGTATATTTATATGTTTAATAAAAAACAAATGAAAATTTCAAATATAGAAAAAACAAATGGGATTTATGCACAAATGTTGCTATATAGAAACTGAATAGTGATTCCACAGCTACCAAGGAATACAACGTCTGCGATGCTCAACTAAAACACAGGAGTTGCAATCTCCAGATGAATAAGCACGTCCATGGTTAGTTAGTATTGAGATATTTGCAGCATACAAAATATCAAACAAAAGCATATTATACACACGGCTAAACTAGGATCAAAATATAAATTTTTTAAACTAGACCTGGGTGTTGGAGTATTGGAAGGACCACTGAAATGTAATTTAACAAAGACTTACACAAACACACGGGGCATATATTTAAAGCTAGTTTTAATTTATGAGTGCTAAATGAGAGTATCCACATCTGACACTGAACTGTAATTGCAAATACAAAGGAGAACAGCTGTTGCAAATGAGGGTTTGCTTTCTCTAATACTATGTAACAAAATAACCCTCTCATTAAGTGACTTGCTTAACATTACAGTAATTTGAAGTGTTCATGGTAGTAAGAGTCTCTGTATGTGAAGTGTTTGTGCTTTAAACACGGCACATACTGAATTATTGTTAATTGAGTGTTGGGGGCTAGTTGCACCCAGAGCAAATGTGACTTAGGCAGCCCTAATCATTGACAGAATTGACATTAGGCAGCTCAGAGCAGAGTTCTGGATTGCTTAAGTCATGTGTGCTGGGGGTGCAACTAGCAATCATCACATAACTAAAATATCTCTAGATATGCAGTGTTCCAAGCAGAAACACTGCATATGCAGAATTCTGCCAGTATGACCACTTCAAAAAGCAGAAGCATGGTGGTTGGAGTAATTCTTTAATGCCCTACAGGGCATTGTACAATGGAAGAAGTGTTTGTTAAATGTTGCCCTATAAAAGGGCAGTCTAAACACCATAATCACAAATGCCAAACACACCCCATCCCCCCTTAGGCCACTGGTTTATAGGATAGTGAAGACTCCAGTTTCCCCCTTCCGCAGGTCCTCTCCAACTCTCGCAAGGCCCAGGTTAACATGGCAATGCTCTGGCACTGCACGCAATCCAGGCTCTCCTGAATTTCCTATCCCCTCTTTTGATTATCTTATCCCCTCTAGTATATCTTATCCCCATTTTGTTTTTTATACCCCTCTTTAGTGTATCTTATAACCCATTTATGTGTTACATCACATTGTGTGTCTCTTACTCCCCCTCTGTGCCTTTGAGTATCTAATGCTTCCTCCCAGCCACTTTGTGTCTCTTTTTCCCTTTTCCAGCCCCTCTGTATGCCTCTTTCCCTAGCTACATTTTGTGTCTCTTTCTCCCCAAGCCACTTTTGTTGTCTTTGCCTTAGCCCCTTTCTGTGTTTCTGCCCCCCAGCCCCTCTGTGTTTCTCTTTTTCCCCTTCCCCGGCTACTTTGTGTGTCACTTCCTTAGCCCCTTTGTGTGTCTCTTTCTTCCATTCAAACCTGTTGTGTCTTCTTCTCCCCCACCAGCCTCTTTGTGTGTATCCCCCCTCCCCCAGTCCCTCTGTTTGGCTCTCCCCCAACCCTCTGCTCCCCCCAGCCCATCTGTTTGTTTCTCCCCACCCCACCCTCTCTGTGTATCTTACCCATCCCTCTGTGTCTCCCTTTCTCTCTCCCAGCCCCTCCAATGTGTATCTTTCACCCTGCTTTTTTTGTGTCTCTTCCATTCCACCTGTTCCCTGTGTATGAGTGTATAACAGAACTACACAATAATAATACTCGCAGTAATGTACCTTTAACCCCTTAAGGACCAAACTTCTGGAATAAAAGGGAATCATGAGATGTCACACATGTCATGTGTACTTAAGGGGTTAAACTACACTAAATGTGTTTAGAAATCAGTCTGTGTTAATCAGATATATTGTTCTTCTAAATTACATTTTAGTTGAATAATAGTTTTCAGAATAGCCCTGCCCCGGCCCACACCCCCACTTTCACTCCCAAAATGAAAGTGTCTCTCTTTGTCCATTTGACATATTGGAAAGTATGTTTCTGATATTGCTAAAACAGAAGTTTAAAGGATCACAATAGGGTCAGGAACATCCCCCTTAGCCCCATTATAAAAGATTAAAATTCACCTTATTTCCAGCGCTACGCTGGTTCGCCGGTGCTGGCTCCGCCTCCTTGTGACATCATCAAAATAGGGAAAGCATTGGATTGGCTAAAATTGGCACCGGGGCCAATCAGGACCTCCTCATGGAGATGCATTGAACCAATGCATCTCTATGAGGAAAATTCAGCGTCTCCATGCAGAGCATGGGGACGCTGAACTGCTGGGCTGCTTACTGAGCCAGGAAGCCCCTCCAGTGGCCATCTGAGGAGTGGCCACTTGAAGGTGTCCCTAGGGGCAATATAAACACTGCCCCTCATGCCTTCATAAATATAGCAAAATCTTACTGTATTCAAGCCTGAAGCTGTAGCTTTGCATGCCTCAGAAAAAAACAGTAGACCGGATCCAATCACAAGGCTTCCCCATAGGATTGGCTGAGACTGACAAGGAGGCAGATCAGGGGCAGAGCCAGCAAAATTCAAACACAGCCCTGGCCAATCAGCAATCAGCATCTCCTCATAGAGACGAATTGAATCAATGCATCTCTATGAGGAAAGTTCAGTGTCTGCATGCAGAGGGAGGAGATACTGAATGTTTGGATGCATTTTAGGCAGCCATGACCCAGGAAGAATCTCTAACAGCTAAGGAGTGGCCAGTGAAGTTATCATTAGGCTGTAATGTAAACACTGCATTTTCTCTGAAAAGACAGTGTTTACAGCAAAAAGCCTGAAGGTAATGATTCTACTCACCAGAACAAATTCAATAAGCTGTAGTTGTTCTGGTGACTATAGTGTCCCTTTAACATTTAGAGCAAGTGCCGGAAAAAATAACTGATCTGGTAAAATTTCATAGGAACACAAAAGCACTGTTATTCACTGAAGTTAAAATGTTGGTGTTTCAAAGTTAAGTTGAAGCAGTATAGTTTTTAAAAGTCAGGAATACCCTATTTTGGCTTTAAAATGTACTAATGAATTTACAATAAAATATTCTTTGGGCACTTGTGAATAAATCTTATCATTTCCATTCCAGAAAAAAATATATAATTTTAAAGAGGCAGATATATAATGTCCTTTTCTGGGGGTTAGTGAGAGCACACATAAATAGCTCACCACTTTCCCACAGAACACAAATGCAGATTAACATGTTGGGACAGTGTACTAGCTGGGCAAATAGATCACTTGGGCCTGGAGCAGATGCTAGTATTTCAGCGCTTATGAAATGCACACAGTTCTACAGCAGTCAATGACATACTGAAATATGATATTCAGTTCACTAGTAATATAAAATTATACTAATCCATTATTAGCTATAGAGTCAAAGTTTTATATCTGTAATATATACTTTTTAACTCCTAGGCTAGGATTAGGCAACCTTCTGCACTCCAGAGCATTATGGGAGATGTCCAGATGTAGAAAAAAAAATAACTACCCCCGGGTGTCTTGGGGTCCCCAAGCCACTAGCCACCACCCCATAAAAAAAGACCCAATCATAAAAAGAAAAAACATGATCTTACAAGGTAAGACTTTACCAGTAAGAGCCCTCTGATTGGTTTGCTTAAGCTTTGAGCCAGATTGTATGGCATGGGAAGGCTTTATAAGCCTTTCCTCGCCCTGCAAAGCTCAGTCTGTTTTTTTAATGTCTGGTTTTTTTTCGACTTCTTTTTTTCAATCGTGTCTTTTATTTATTTTATCAGTTTGATGGTCTTTATTGATTTTTATTTGGCCTTTTTTGGGGCCTCAAAAAAGAAGACATCTAATGGTAATTTATTTTTCCAGGTATTTAGTTCATTGCACCCCGTCACTATTGTTAGGGTGAAAGGGGGGGCTTGGGGACCCCTAGTCATTGGGGGTGATGACTAGGGTCTTGTGAAACCTTAGTCACTAGAGTATGTAGTTCTTTTTACTATTAGCCCCACCCATCACCAATGGGTGGGGGCTGTCGGGAACATTAGGTCCCTCCTCTTATCACTTACAGCCTCTACCCTCCAGTAGTGGGTGTTGGCTCGGGAGGCACTAAGTCCCCTATA